CTGTCAAACTTTGGTTAGAAATTCATGTGTAATGCAATGAAAACGCATTTGAACTCTTGAAAACAAATGCTGGAGAGACGTGTGTGCAGTTAGCACCTTGTTTTATGATGTGTTAATAAATCTGCCTGCAGCTGTATGTCACTGTTGCACTAAGAACTTGATTTTGGAGTATTTATAAGGGATTTTATAATGTTTTCTTTAATTTGTGACAAATGTGTCTCATGTCCTGTTTAAATGGTTTGAATGCTTGTGATGCAGATTTCATGAATTTATTTCATTCACCAATCTCTCTTCCTCGCTCACAGTCTCATGTGAACTCTTACAACAAATCTGACCATTTATTTTACAGGGTCTTATTCGATCTGTCCTAATGACACAGTGACACACTGCCTCTACAGGCTCTTAGCATTCACAAAAACAATCAGCCCACTTTATATTATTCAGATATTTATTGGGTTTTTCTTTTATTCTTTACAGCCAAATGCTTTTGTCACAGACAATGTTCATCAGCCAATCACCTCAAGCCTAATCCAGTCAGCTCAAAGCCGATTGGCTGTTTGGGCTCACTCCCACCATCCAGCCATTTCCCTTTGTGTATAACAACAATAACAGAAAGGAAGCACTTTACAGCACCCAGACACACGGTACATAACCACACATTAACCAGTCAACAACAGAAAAAAATAAACCGTCTTAACGCGATTTAAGACAGGAATCTGCAAAAGTTAAGTTTTAAACCTGGAAAAATACCAGCGGAGTGAGACAATTTAACCTATTGTGAGTGCGCTTCTTGTCCTCTAAACATCAGTGCCAGTATCTCAAAAATACAAAGAGGCAGTGCTTTGCAGGAATGATTGAAAATAAAATTATACTCAGTTTAAAAAAAAAATAAGTTAATTTCTGCTGGAAACCAGTTGAATCATTCCATCCCGCAAGCAAATTCTCCAGATGTTAAGGCTGCCTGTCGTTAAAAAAAAGAAGAAGAAAGGAGACTTTTCTTTCTGTGAACATGAAGCAGGACAAACCTGAGCAGGTTCAGTCTTGGTGAAAACAAAATGTCCGCCTGAAAGTTTCCCTTCAGGGTGTCAGGATGTCATAGAACTCAACAAAGTCCTTCTGCATGAAATTCTGGCTCTGCATAAGGTCGTCTTCAGAGGGGAAATATTGCATGCTCTCCTCTTGGAGACGCAGACTGCTTTCATGCAGAAGCAAGCTGCCCTCGTGCGTGCACAGAGGGTCCTCGTGCAGTACCACAAACTGTCCCGGAGGCGATGTTGAGCCGTATGGGTTGGGACTGTCCAAGAGGGCTCCTCTGGCATTCTCCAGGACGCCCAGGTATGAGTCCATGTCCGTCAGCTCCATGTCGCTGTCGGAGCTGCAGCCGCTATCGCTCCCCACTGAGTCACAGCGCATGTGCAGCATCTCGTACTTCTCATGCATCAAAAACTGGTTGGTGTTCTTGGGGGCCTGCATCCCCCTCACCCTCTTCCCCTTCACGTTGACGGGACGAAGGGACAGCGCCGGCTTCTGGTAGTGTCGGGGATGATGATGGTGGTGATGTTGATGATGATGATAGTGGTGGTGGTTGCGCCCTTTCGGCCACCCTCCTCCGCTCATCCTCCGCCCCTGTAGGCGCCCCCTGCAGCTCTTGGACCAGCCGTGCTTCTTGCGGCCGTCCCTCTGCAGAGCCTCGTTCCCCTCCTGCAGCAGCTTGGGGTGTTCGCAGATACTCCTGCACATCTTATCTGAGAGCATTTCCTTGTTTCCTTTCCTTTCTTGATGTCGCCTCTCAGCTACACCTCCTTCACATCCTCCTCCTCACTCGGTTGCTCACTCAACAACAACAATGCGAGGATCGTTTCTCGATGTGTGGCTCAGATCACAAATGACCCTTCCTCCTCTCACTCGATAGTCTACCTTTTGACTATTTTTTCACTTTTTTTCTTGACCTCTGGCTTCGGCTGGTGCATAGCCTCCTCTGCCTCCCCTTGCAGCAGCAGCTTGCCTGCTTGCTTGGCTCTCTGTCACGCCCTCGTCAGTCTCGCTAATGTCTCTTTTTTCCACCCCTTTCTGAAAGTGAAATCAGCTCCTTGCAGCTCTGATTAGTGAACTGAAGTGAGCGGGGTAATAATTTTGAGAGTCGTCTCGCTGATTTTAAGGTGGTTTTTCTCTGAGTTAAGTCAGTAGCGACATCAAACTGAGCGCTTACCATCACTGACTGTGGAGCTGCCGTCTTCTCGGTGTTATTATAAGGAGCTGGAAGATTTCATTCGCGTAGAAGGAGGCGGGGGGAGATGTCATTTCACGCGTCTCCGTTTCCCATTTGAAACATTGTAACATGACATATGTTGTCGGTCATTTATTCTAAACCTCAATGTTAAATACCTAAATACCCATATGAAGCTACTGTAGCTATGTTAAAAAGATGTGGTGTGACACACAGAAAGCATCCTCCCCGCCGAGTGATGGTTCAGTCCGCCTTAGTTTTGGCAGTTGAAATCTGATGCCCAGCTGCTGCTGTTCCTTCTCCCCCGCCCCCTCCCCGTGGAAAGACAGTGGTCACTTACAGCAACAACAATCGGAGCGGACTGGAGTAGTCACCGTAACAGTCTGACAGCCGTTATTTACGGCCTTGTACATGGACCATGCCCACAACAGTTCAGAGTATCACAGCATTACCGAAAGATCCGTCCGAGGACAGCAGTTTTCTATATAAACCACTGTAATGGTAGCGAATAACTTTGTACGTATTCATTTGTGCTCTAAAATGGCTTCCTCGAAGACAGCACACCAGTCTCACCACTTCGGTTCAAACCAGAGGTGTCAAACTTGTGGCCGACTGGGCTCACTGGGTTTCATTAATTCCCACAAATTTTCAATAAAGTTCATTTATCATTTAATTCCAGATCTAGGGGAGAACTTGTCTGTCCTTTCTTTTCCTGGGATCTGAAAATGATTGTGGAAAAACTGAGGAAAGTCTAGGAGGTTTGTTTTTCTTAACATGCTCCAAGGTATTCATTATCAGTCTTGTAAATGGGTAACTTATTCAAAATAATTAAGGATAATCTATGCAAGCTAGTTAGACAGCCTGGTTTAGATTGACAGCTTTGAAGAGGTTAACAACTTTTAAGGTGGTCATATACTCCAAGTGTTGCTTTGCTCTGCACTTCTAAAGTAGATAAAGTTATGCCATAAACCCCTGCTTAACTTTAAAGGCTTTGACTAGATTAAAATAAAATGCCTGCACTGAGTAGGAGATGCTCTGTATCTCTTTGTACATGTGTATAGTTACAATGAAAAGACATTCGTATTCTTTTTCTTCAAATCCTGCACAGACTTTTACTTGCTTTTTTTGATCAACTCACCTTTTTAAAACATTTAGCGTCAACACGAGGTTGAAATCTGTTATTTTATTGTAATATGTCAACAACTACTGCAGGATAGGATTGAAGAGACATTTTAAAACACTTTTTAACCACAGGATATACTGTTAGAACTGCAAGAACCTTGGTAATAATTTGATATCCAGCGCCATCATCTGGTCCAACTTGTTCAAACACAAGCAAAAGTAAAGGGTGCAAATATACGTGCAAACGGAGTGTACAACGTGTACTCCCTCTACCAGTGTGTTTCTAGTACAGCAGTTTAGGCCGTTATTTAAAGTTAGTGAAATGTCTAGTAAGAATAAAAAATATACATATCCTTATCTCAAGTCTTGCTCAAAAACAAAACAAAACTCCAAAACTGTATCTTTTTTGTTTTTAAATTAGTTTTCCTGGTTATTGTTACTTTTGGTGTCTTTGAGTGTGTGTATGTCCTTCTTCTGTTAATTGTCTGAAACAGATCATGTAACAGTGTAATTGCCAGCACTGCTGAATGAACACTTGTGTATTGTATATATTCCACATCTTGGGAATATTTGTGCAAATAATTAATAACAGATTGTGTTAAAATGCTGTTCCGGAAACGATGGCCTGTCTTCCTAGAAAATGAAGAAGGTAAACCCGTGAAAGGGCTGCTAAGTGACGTTTTAGATTTGTCATCTAATCAGAAGAAGAAAGGATGGATTTTATCTTTAGTGTTGACGGAAAAAAATAAGGAGCCCTTTAAAGTTGAATTCCTTTTTCATTCATTTTTTCACCACAGGCTATTCTCTCCAGTTCAAATATGTATATTTAATTCTGTTTTAGTCAACAAATCAAACACAATGGAGGACCACATCAAGCCTGCAAATATGCTACAGCACAGTGACCCCTTGTGACCGTTAAATGGAGTGGCTTAAAACCAACTAAGGAAATTAGGCTTATCTTTAATGGAACCCATCCAAGAAAATAAATGGAGATGTGTAGCAGACAGTGTAGCAGACTTATTTAACAAGATTGTTTAACACACCCCAGAGCCTTAGAAACTACACAGGGATAAAGCTGCTGAGCCATACCACGAATACGTCGGAACGAGCTGTTTAAACTAGGTTAGGTTAGAGTGACTAGAATGGACAGGATTAGAAATGAGTACCACAGAGGGACAGCTCAGGTTGAGCAGTTTGGAGATAAAGTTAGAGAGACGAGGCTGAGATTATGTGCAGAGGAGGGATAGTGAATATACTGGACAAAGGATGTTGAAGATGGAGCTGCAGGCATGTGGAAAACAGAAAGACTACAGAGGAGATTCATGTGAAGGAGCCCATGCCGACGGCTGGTGTGGCAGAGGAGGGTGATGGGGATAGGGTGTGTCAAATGATCCGCTGTGGGGAAACCTGAAGGGAGCAGCTGAAAGACGAATCGGGGTGATCAGTTCACCAAACAAGGCGTGGCTATAGTAATGACATATGCTCATCTCCATATTTTAATATAACATCATTTATTTATTTTCAAGAACCAAGAAAAGGAAATAACAAAGAAAAAAGCAAACTTTTTTTTAAAAAAAGGTGACTGTAACTAAACAACTTTTAAATAAAGTTTTTTTTTGTCAGCCAGTCACCTGCTTCGTTCAGCATCATAACAAACATGGCGGCAGGAGGCGGCTGACTGAAAAGGAACGCTATGCATCTTTAGCAACCGTTTTCCTCAGTAATAGATAATCTCCTCTCGTTGATCACAGCATGGAGCCCGTCCCGTTTACGGAGGAGGTTTCGGAGAGAAAAGTATCTGTTGTCGGCTCAGAGTTGGTGGAAAACTACACTGTAAGCTCCGCTCTTTCTAGCTTAATACCAGTTAGCTTAGCTTGTAGCTCTCCCGGCTTCCAGGTCTATCGGAAAAACAGCGAGTAATATTTCTGAGTTCCCCAGACAGTGGGTGTGTTATACTGGACTTAACATGGAGATGGATTCGGGCTTCATGTCTTTATTCTTCAGAGCATGGTAAAAGCAGCCGAAAGAGCAGCTCACAGGCTAACTGCTAACTGCTGCCTTAATTTTCACGCACGGTTTCGGTTGGTTTCAGTGTTTCCTCTTGAATGTGTAAATCTGATAGTCTTTTACGGATTCAGTCTTTTCCTGTTCCTTTCTTGTATGACAGTGTGCTGTGTGTGGCTGATAACCCGATTTGCTCCTGTTGCCTCTTGTAAGTTAAATCCTTTCTCAAGACAGCAGGACAGAGAAAAAACACCAGATTTTGAATTGATTATTAATATAGGTCACTCAGCTTTAAAAACAAGTAATGTCACCACACGTTTTCATCTGAATGGAGCTTAATATGGGAGAGTGATTTGTTCACTTGATATTTTTTGCCATGTTTTTCTGAATTGACGAGACGCTTTTAATCCACAAAGAGCCTGAATGCTTGAATTAAGTATCAACTGTTCCCCTAGTTCAATACATTTTTATTTGGTTTAGGTGTGATACATTTGACGATTTCTGGCATTTTTGTCTAGTGAATCACCACATAGCCACCCTGACTGCATTTTAAATACAACAGCTGTATGTCGAAGTTCTTGCTTCAGGAAACATTTGGGTTCATCTGATCCTGGAAACAAGCAAACACGTATAAGTGTGCTGTGAATTTTCTGTTATTTGGTAAAATGTTTTAATGATTTCATGAATTTAAACCCACTTAAAATGTAATTGGTAAAAGAATATTTTATTATAGTCTTGGTGATTTTCCTTTGGCAGAAATTCCAAACCTCTTTGGTGGAGATCAAACATTTTTATATGCAGGAATCCTCTTCTGGGTCACAGATTTTAATATATGCTTCTCTGATGTTTGAGGTCTACATCATTGATGTGACGGATGGACAGCACAGGTGGACTGTGAAGCACCGCTATAGTGATTTCTACGACCTCCATGAGAAGGTAATAAAGGGGGCCAGTGAGCAGCCTTATGCCACCATCAACAGTTCAGTTTTTTAGTCTGAATCCTCTAGTAAACTACCAACAGTCACAGGGCTAACACAGAGAGATGGACACATTCACACTTATGAGCAATTTAGAATCACCAGTTAACCTAACCCCTGATGGTGGATTAGATTCCAGGCTCTTCTTGCTCTGAGACAACAATGCTAACTACCTTTAGCACTTGTTGTAGTTTTTTCTCTCCTTTTAACAGGACAATTTACTGTCTATAAATTGTGTTCATAAAAATATCTCTAACAATTTCCTCAAATTTTTTTATGTCAATTTCTCTCTTGTTTGAATGGCATTCTGATAGGTCTTATCAAATTACAATGATATAAAATGGAGAATAGCTACAACTTTTCATGTTCTCTGCACCTAGGAAACATTTGTTTCTTGGCTGCAGGATTGTTTTATTATGAAACCTGGTTTTACACCTGATGTTTGTTTCCTCTTAAGCTTACGGCAGAGAAAAAGGTTGATAGACGACTGCTTCCTCCTAAGAAGATCTTGGGAAAGAACTCAAAGAGTCTGGTGGAGCGGCGGCAGAAGGAGCTGGAGCTCTACCTGCAGACTCTTCTCCAGCAGTTTCCTCAAGCCACGCCCACACCGCTCACCAACTTCCTACATTTTCATCTCTACGTGAGTACAACCTATAAACAAGTGTGCAGTTCATAATTTAGAATAACCTCAGTTTGGAGTGGAGGTCTGTTAGGTCTTCACTACAGCAAAGAAAACGAGGTCAGAGAGTCATGCTGGTTGATAAGATCTAGATGCTCCCATTCATTTTAAATCTGTTAGACACTTTTGAGATAAAGACTCTGTGCAGACTAGTCAGGTTCTTCAAACAAAACCAGTCAAACACTCACACAGTCAAACACTTTTTTTCTTCCTATTTCAACATACGACTTCGTGTTGAAACAAAACGTTAACTGTTGACACAGCAACACTGAACTATTGAACTGTTTAGTTTTGTCCTGCTGTCTTGATTAGATTGACCTTATTTTGTGTTAAATGTTTTGCACTTAAGTTTCCCAGCTTAGAGTTTTCTACAGTATCTACAATCTACAGTAGCAGTAATATCTCATTTTTATTTTTAACCATAACATATTTACATCAGTTCATCTCTCATATATGCTCCTGATTTTGAGAATTTGAAATATATAGAGCCAAAGAATTACAGTATAATACTACAGGAAAACAGTTTTTTATCTCTCTTGAATGTAAAAGCATTCCCTTTGTACAATCGGCACAATTACAGCTATCAGTAGGTATAAGCTTCAGTATAACATTATAGAAACAGGTGTCAAAACACTATCCTGAAGTGACATAGGCCCAAACACATGGCACCCACCCCTGAGAAAAAGTCTCTTCATTTAAGATTAACGTCAAAGCAGTTCATCACAGTAAACACAAGACACCATCCATCAGTTATAGGCCTGATTAAACAATTTACAACATCGTATTAAAAAAACCCTCATAATATATAGACAGTATGTGAGGATGTAAATCATGTATAAAATATATATAAAGTTTAAAACATTATTAACAATTTAACCTCAATTGCAATAAATTACAGACAATGTTTCAAATAAAAAAATACTGAGCCCTTTTGATGAACTCGAACTGAGTGTATTTTATTGGACTCTCTTAAATAATGCAAGGAAATTATTTAGTAGCTTTTATGAAGGAAAGTCATGGTGAAGTGGATTATTCTTCCATTTAAGGGCTGCAAAACGTGCTGATAAAGTCTAAAAAATACATCATGTTTGTACGTGTCACAGTGTTTTGCACAATGAATGCTGTGTTTGTAAGAATTGATCACGTCATGAGTTTGGCCACAACTTTCATCCCGAGCTCTGAGTCATTGTCAGTTTTACAGCCTTCTTACGGATGAAGACATTACCCTCGGTAATGTTCTAATCCCAGCGTCATCCCAGCAAACAATACTGAATAACCATCTTTAACTGGTCTTTTCTCAACGTCTAGGCTTGGTTGAAAACTAATCCCAAAGTTTACTGTCACCTTGTTAGATTTGATAGCTAGCCTGTTTTATATTATCCTTATACAGAGTTCAGCAAAACAAAGCCCTTAATTTAGACAAGAGTGAAAACATCTAAAAAAACTGATCATGGATTTCTCACTCTGTGGCTCATTTCTCATCATACTGAGCTGACTGATTATACAGGTTAACATCAGGAGGCAGAGAGCTGATGGTTTTGTTAGGTTTGTCACAGTTTCACACGAGTTCATCATGCAACAAATTTAGATGTAGATAAAATCTCAATGCTACATGAATGGCCCAGTTGCCCATTGAAAGAAACCACTGGGGTCTCTGTAAATGAGCTGGGCTGAACAGTTGATAAAACTGAATCCATGTATCAAGAATAACTATTATATTCTGTTTCTTTGTATTATATAATTTCTGTGACTTAATTTGCTTTGATAGATCAGTCTTGTATAAAGCAAGTGTAGTCTGATAACACACACAGTGGCTTGAGGCTTTGTGATGACAGAGACAGTGATCACATTATGACGATAATGGATTAACAACAAGAGGCCACTGTTTGAGAAGCCTGCACGGCAAAGCACACACAGGAAAACCTCTCATGTGACTTGAAGTGAACAGCATGTGACTGTAACAGATAACTTTGTTTGGAGTGATAGTGGGAATCTGTATCTTCTGTTTAATGTTCGGTTACATCGAAGTGTAATGTGTTTGAAGGGAAGACAGCTGACAGATCCAGGTGTCTGCAGGCGTAGCTCTAAGTACTACGAACCAAACGTTTTTAAAACATGGTTGGAGGTTGATTTGTGTTAATGTTATTTGAAGTTTAAAAAAAACTTTTGTGAAAGCATCAGTAAAGAAATGATGATCAGCCATAGTGATGGGAATCATAGACCGGTTGCATTTGCATGGCTCCAAGTCTTTTTTTGTTTGTAGGTCATTGCTGGCGTATCTTTCTGTCATTTTGCATTGTTTAACAGTGACGTAAAACTCATATCAGTGGAGTTTTTGCATACCTCAGTCACATGCAAGCCTTTCACTCTGTGTTCAGACTCAGAAACTTCAAAGACCTTTTTTCCCCACATAGAAAATAGATCAGGAATCAATATAGAGTGTGACCTATGATCTGCATCTGCGTCAACATTGGTATCAAGTCAATTTACAGTAGAAGAAACAGAATTAGAGAAATATTAGTAAAATACAAGGATGGTAGGGGGAAGGTTACAATAAAGAAGAACTTTTAAGAAACTGAAAATTTTTGAAAGGTGATTAAAAGTGATTCAGTAATTCAGAATCTAAATGTAATATAATAAAAAGCTTGAAGCGTAGATATTCTAAGAAATATTTTCTATTTGCTGTTACTCAGACAGACGACATCTAACAGAGGTTAGAGAACCTGAGGAGTAGCAGCTCTACTCTGAGCCCTTCCCAAATGACTGGACTCCTCACCCTATGCTAAAAAAGAGCAGAGCCACCCTTCGGAGAAAGCCTGTTTCCACCGCTCGTATCCGTAATCTCATTTTTTCACCTTTAAAAGAGCTAACAATGAAAGTGTTAACAAAAAGATTGGGCCTAGATTAACAGATTTAAGGTATTTGTCAACAAAAATGCTCCATCTGGTGGCTAACATTTACAGTGCAACAATTTACCAGCACTGTGCATCAGTGACAGTGTTAACAATTAGGATAAACAACTACTATGTCTGGTAACAGATTAATGAAAATAGCGACAATTATATAAAATCTTATCTCAGGTGTTTCTTATTGTGTCATCGTCCAAACACGACCTAATGTTGTTAATTCAGTTAATTTGTAGGTGATGGCTCCATGTTCAAGTAACAACAACTGTTAGTTATTTTAAAGTTAATATAATTTTTTTTGCTCTTCCAGGAAATCAATGGCATCACTGCAGCGCTGGCAGAGGAGTTGTTCCATAAAGGTAGGATAGCAGACACAGTGGACCTGCTTTAGAGGTCTTGTTAACATCTGATTTGTAAATAACCGTTTGAAGCTGTATATGTGAACATATAACAGACTTCCCTGCAAAGAAAATAACAAGTGTGTAGACCAAGGGTCCAAATAGGCAGACAGTGTATTTGCAGTGTGTGAAAATTGTATAGACCACATTCATAATTATATATTTTTTTTATTGAAAATGTTTGAATCATAAATATTGACTCCTGTGTGAGGATGCCACTGCAGGATTCCACTCAGCATTTATCGAAAGTTAAAACCATTTCTAGATTTCAATACGTAGTAAGGAGTAAAGTACAACTGTGTGTAGCTCTGTAATACTCTAAAATTGTAATATACATGTAATAACTGTATACTCAAGCAAAATAAGATAATATATAAGATTTCTTTCTAAATGTTTAAAAAGATAGTTCATGTTGTTTATTATACGTTTAAGTAAATGTGGAGCTTTTTTTTTTATTGTTTGTTTTAAAATGAAAAGAATGAAAAGATGAATTTGACACACCTGGTTTGTACAGTGAGCAGTGTCACACTGTCTGTTTGTGTGCTGTAGGTGAGCAGCTGCTGCAAGCCGGCGAGGTGTTTTCTCTCCGTCCTCTGCAGCTCTTCTCCGTCTCCCAGCAGCTGCGGATGGCCAAACCAACCTGCTGCAACGGAGATGCCAAAACAGACCTGGGACACATCCTCGACTTCACCTGCAGGCTGCGATACCTCAAGGTTATACACCACTTATACACCAGAAATCCCTGTCATGTCGTTTCCCTCTGAGCAGCAGAGGTGGTGAAGGCTCTCACTGGTTTTTGTCTTTGTTTCTCAGATTTCTGGTACCAGAGGTCCAGTAGGAACCAGTAATATTCAGGAGGCGAGTCTCCCCTTTGACCTGTCTGTTTTCAAATCCCTGCTGCAAATAGAGGTAACTATCTCTCTGTCCATAAAATATGTTTTGTCTGTTTTTATGTAACAATGTGATTTATTAGTGGATACAACGAGGAAAGCTTTACTGGCATTGCTAATCAGTGTGACAAAGTTTGCTTAGCTTAAACATTTGCTGAAAGCTCTTCTTGGATTTTCTTCGTTGCTAAATATAAATCACTGATTTTGTTTTTGTAAATTTGCTGGGAACGCTGGGAGGGTTAAGAGTTAAGGACATACAGTATGCATGCCATAGGGTAGAAGAGCTGCTTGGCCTGAATTGAACTGGTCACGCTAGTGTTAGGGTTGAAAATGATTAAATAAAGCTGTTTTTATTATTTTTATAAACACAATGCAATGTGCTCATAAAAGAGTTGGTGCTCCGTATTTTGAGGGTCAAAACCTTCGTCCAGTGGTATGTTTGACCTGAAATTTTGAGACTGGACGTAGCGCGTTTGAGGGTCCTTTTTGCTGCGTGCTTACAAGTTGTTTACCACAGAGCACACAACAGTGTGTACTCTTGTTTTTTGTTTTGTTTTCTTTGAGTAAAAAAAAAAAGGTATGCTTGTTATTAATCCATAAACTGTACATGTGCCATTCACAGACACTGTAAGCAACAGATGAATAAAACTTGAATTTTATTCACTAAAATTGAAGCATACACTTCTTGGATAGGCTCTATCTCACAACAAGCCATAGGGAATTTTGGGAATTTTGTTAAATTGACTCCAAAGGCACCAGCAGCAAAAACATTGTTGTGAGGTCCAGTACGGGGACTCCGGTTAATGAAGACGAGGCTGGCAGAGCCTACGGCTGCCTATGAGTGGAGCTGATGCCTATAAATACCTGTTATTAGAGTCATTTGATGTCGAACTAAATTGTACTTTTTTACTTGGAAGATAAAAACTCATAAAAAGATAACAAACAAAATAATAACTTGTTTATGTGTTTCTTTGTGTCCAGTGTGAAAAAAAGCTCAGCTGTTGATCTGAATAATTTTATTTTAATCTGAATTTCACTTCAGAGTTCAAACAGAAAAAAGAATAGGAGATGCTGACGCAGTATCCCTTATCACTCTTTCAAGTTTATCCAAATGTAAATGATCAGTGGTAAGATAAGTCCTTCAGCTTTTAACAATGTTACTGTTGTGTCTTTCTTCAGATCACAGAGTGCAGCTCTCAGCAGATTCTTGGTTTGTCCTCTCTGAGGTCGAGCTTGGTGACGATGAGCATCCATCGCTCCACCGAATCTATGATGGTACATTTTAGATCAAATACAGTACATGTCTGAGTATTACTGTTCTGTGTTGCACTATGCTGATACTGACGTGTGTTTCATTTATGTGACACCTCAGTCTGTCCTCGTCCCAGAGGGGAGTGAGTTCTCGCAGTGGGAGCCTGAGGGGGTGGAGTCTGGGTGTCCGGTCACCGCTGTCATCCCTGTGTGGAGAAATCTCACCACGCTGGACATGAGTCACAACTGCATCAGTAGCATCGACAGCTCAGTGGTGAGACACACACCCGCCAAAACCTGCAACATCAGCAGCTTCACCCAGAGTTCAGTCAGTAATTATGTTTAAAAGCAGTTTTTGTTTGTTTTCCTCACAGTGAAATAATGGAAAAATACACCACATAACAGATAAAATGTTACATAATAACATTACCAGATGATATACATTGTAAGTTTTTGTCTGTTTAATTAAACAACGTAATAATATGAGATTTCTGCTGTAAGAAAAAATAGTTTTTTAAAAAACTGATTTAAAAAATCAGTGATTTTCCTGTTTATTGTAAAACACTGATGGACAAAACCTAACACCAAACTACATGATGATGATTTTTTTACACAGCTCTCCTCTGTTATTTTCAGTCACAGAAACAAGCTGTTACAGTTATATCCTCCTGACAATCGACTTATTCATTTATGTCCCCCGTAATGGACATGACGTATTAAATAGAGAACATCTTGGGCTTTCCATTGATATCTGATGTGTTTGGGTGGCCTCTTTTAGCCCCAAAGAGACAGGAAATCACAAAAAGTTCAATGGCAAGATTGTATATTCCTCGGTTTTACATGTATATTATTAAAGGGGACATATCATGCTTATTTAACCATCATATTTTTTCATTATTTAAAACAATCCTTGTTTATTTTGTAATGGGAAAGTTTTTCCCAGTTTTTTTTAATGCCGTTCCTTTCAAACCAACTTTCTGCTTATTAGCTGTCACTTGCAAACAGAAGGTTTAAGCAGCAGCTCTGTGATGCTTCTGTGCTCCCAGCCAGAGCCCCGTATCCCTGCGATAACAAGCTGCAAACATCAGGTCTTGGGGTAAAATACAGGGATAAAAACAGCTGGGTATTTAAATAAAGGCGTGATTTGGTTGGATCAGTGTGCTCACATTGAGTTTATTTCTCTTGTAGAAACTGATGCCTAAGGTGGAGTTTCTGGATCTGAGCTACAACCAGCTGTCCTCAGTGGAAAACCTCCAGGTATGTGACAGAATGAAGAATGAAGACAGGTCATGCCTCCTTTGACCGTCTGCATAATTCCTGAAACATCAAAAAATATTTTTATAGTTGATAAAATAAACAACGTTATTATTTTCAGGATGATTGGACAATTTCTATAGTCTTAAATGTCACTGTAGTGGTGTTAAATGTGTGTTATGTTTTTTTAAATGTGTAAACAGAAATGACCTCCTTGTGTTCACAGCACCTGTACAATCTGGTCCACGTGGATCTGTCCTATAACAACCTCCAGGATCTGGAAGCAGCTCACACTCGTCTGGGGAACATCAAAACCTTGAGCCTGGCTGGCAACCAGCTGGACCGACTGACCGGTCTCACGAAGCTCTATTCTCTGGTCAGCCTGGACCTAAGCCACAACCAACTGGCACAGGTAAGTACACCAAGGACACCCTGATGGCCATATGGGAGAATACAAAAGCATTTCTCTTTTCATGGTTTGACGGCATATCTAAAATTTCCTCCTCGTTTTTTTTTTTTTTACATTGCTGTGTAAAAATTTTATTAAAAAACTAGAGAAAACAAAAAATATGTATATAAAAGATGTAAATGAGTATTGAAATGATTAAACCTGACATTTTATTCTACCTTACATCATATATAGGGCTTCTTCCTTCTCAGTTTGTATCCTTTTCTTGAAGAATTGCCTTAAGAAGTATAAACCTGCTGTACTTCCGAACAATAAGTCTGATCATAGCTTTAAAAAATAAATAAGTAAAAAATCTTGATATTTACAAGAGTTTGTTAACAGCTTGGTTTGTAAACGCCTCCAAAGAGTTTATATGATTCCACTGTTTCGCCCTTTTCTTAGCAACATTACTTATAAAATACTATATCATGCTTCAGTGTATAGAAATATTAATGGATAGATTTGCGCTATCATTGTACCAGAGCTGGGTATGGGTTCAACTAAGAGGATTAAAAGTTTTGGAACTAGATCCAGAAATTAATGTAACATAGAAATAATAAAATCTGAAAGACGTCCTCTTAATATTAAAAACCCCCCAAAAACATCATAAACCAAGTTCTGTCTGGACCAAAGATTTTGATTCAGGTGGGGTGTGTAGCCTTGGCTGAGGTTTGCAGCGTCATGTTTTCACCGTGTGTGTTTGTATTTTTCTAGTTGGAGGAAATCAGGAACATCGGCTCTCTGCCCTGTCTGGAGAAACTCAACCTGTCCAGTAACCCCATATGCATCATCCCAGACTACAGAACCAAAGTCCTGGCCCAGTTTGGGGATCGTGCAGCAGAGGTGTGCAACCAGAACCTACCACACAATATTATTCCTCCTATGCTATAACTGTTTCGGCAAACACAACCTTTTTTTCCCACTACTTTCTGACTGCTCTTACAACAATACACTTGCATCATCCACTTCACCACAGTGCTTGTCTTTCTGTTCTCCACGTTTTTATCTTTGTGTTAATCCTTTATTTCTTTCTATGTTTTTAGGTTTGCCTGGACTGTAATGCGACGACGGAAAAGGAGCTGGACACTGTGGAAGTGTTGAAAGCCATTCAGAAAGCCAAAGAAGCCAAAGATCGCATGAGCGGCAACGACAAGAAGGTAGACTCTGTCACCCTAAGGCCCACCGAAGGGCTTAGTGTCAGTTTGTGTAGTTAAACTAGCAGCATTCATGTAAGTTCGTGGTGAAACATGATAAAATTTTCACAGCACATATTATTATTGTCTAAAATTATTCAGTCTAAAACGATGAACAAATCTATGTTAGAAAGCTGAAAGCAGTTGCACACTGATCAGCCACAACATTAAAACTACCTGCTTATAATCATGTGGGTCCCTCCCACACCCCCAAAACAATTCTGAGAAGTAATATCTGTATTTTTATTGATTTTGTGTTTATTATTATTTTACATAACGGTATAAATCATGGGAAAAAGTACTTATAATATCATCACATGGGCATTACTGACATTTCCCTCATCATTACAAGGTTATTGTGACACTTGTTGTTCTGTCTGTATATGGGACCTCTGGGTTTGTCCTGTAGTGTCTGGCAGCAGATCCTTTGGGTCCGATGCATTGAGGGGTTGGGACTTGTGAGTCAGGCTTGCTCTTCCCCTTCCCTTTGATGGGGTGGTCACTTTACCTTAGGGGGTCGTGCCTGGACTGCAACAACATTTGAGTGTATCTCTGATTGTTATGAATGACTCAGAATTTCATTGTAACAAGGTAATTATCTTTACCTGTCTGTGGGTTTAATGTATGGCTGATTGGTGTACTTGAACACTGTGAGAGGAACCAAACTGATGTTGTGGACTGATGTCAGTCATATGTGACAGATTCTTGAAGTTATTATTGTAGGGTCTGCCTTACAATGCAAAGCGCCTTGAGGCGACTGTTGTTGTGATTTGGTGCTGTATAAATAAAAAAAATTGAAATTGAAGTCAGACTGTGCCTTTGTTAGTTGAACTGTGTCATCCTATCTTTTAGATAAATTAACCCTGAAACCTGCTGTAGTTGTTTCATAACTTTAACCTGATTGTAGCTCAATCAATAATCATGACGTGTACAAACCCACCAGTTAGATGTAACTAACATAGTTTTTCTGACATCATATTATTTACTAACGGCTCCTGAAGCCTTGAAAGTTTAGCAGAGGTTTTATTAGGTACTAATGTTAATTATTCAGTGTAAGGCGCTGTGTAGTTTTCTTGGTAAATAAGGAATTGCAGTTGGACACCACCTTCATGCTAACATTTTCTGATTGAACACATATTGCACATCAGCAGCAGAATTATTCAAAATGCATCAAATATAAATAAATCGTTCAGTGTGGAGATAAAAACTAACACACTGCAACATAACTGATGTGTGAGCTAAATCTGTGTTTAAGCAGCTTTTTTATAGTGCATCAGGACGTATGTATCACAGGAAGGAAGGTAACAAGTTTAACAAATTCAGGTCAGGAAAGAACTTTCTAAATGACTTAGGGTTGCTGTTTGGATATTTAGCCTCCAAAGTAGTCTTTACTCATAACGGCCTGCGAAGCTTCAACGGTTTCTCACACAGGCTACAAACACTGACCAAACTTTAGCCAAATTACAACTCGTTTATTATTCATTATACATGTAATAATAATAATGCATCTCGTCTCATTTAAACAAAGCCATAATAGATTCTAGATAACACTAATTCTAAAACATGCAGCAGGCTTAGCAAAGGGTCATAACTGACTCTGTGTGCATGACTGATATATGCCCTAAGTCCTCATACATGTATCTTGACACCACTTAAGAAATTGTAAAAATATTAAGCTGATTCCTGTTTAAATGACAATGTTTAAAAGTCATTGACTGGGAACCCAAATATTTTAATATCTCTTCAAATTTACAAAGCCTGTCTATAGGAACAAAATAGCAAATAAAAGAGAGGCACACAGAATATTCACTGTAGTTTGTTAACTGTTGAACCCTTGGAAGCCTAATAGGAATAACCCTTAAAACTCTTTATAGAAGAACGAGTTAAAGCTACAAAACCTGTCAGTTGTTTAAACTATAGGCACACAGATTTAGCTCATTAACTTCACTGTTATATAGTGGCACCAGACTGCTACAAATAGTTTGGTTTTTATGTTTTTTGTTTATATATCATCAGAGATTGTCTTTAGATCTTTAAAAAAAAAAAAAAGGTCATTTGTTGCTCTGCTGCTGATGGAGCTGCTGGTCGTAGAGTTGTGATGTGATGTGTAGATGACTGCTGATCTCTGAAGGCTTCCCCCCTTTCTGTCCTCCCGTCAGATCAGTGAGGAGACCAGGCTTTCTGCTGCTGTACCTCCTCTCCTCTCCTCCTCCTCCCCCTCCCCTCTCCCGGCCTCCTCTTCCTCTCCTCTCCCATCCACCTGCTCTCCCTCTTCTCTCGCTCCTCCCGCTGCTGTCACGTCCTCCTCCTCCTCTTCCTCTTCTACCTCTTCGGCCCAGCAGGCTGCCTGCTCCAGCAAAGGTAATCATGTATGTATCAGGCTGTGCCATGCTGAGGGAGGGGGGGTGTTTGTTTTTGTTTCTAATCAAGGACAGCAGCCAGATGGTTCAATACTACTTCTAAATCATTTATAAATTGGGCGTTGATCAACAAACTAGTTAAGTTATTGTGAAATGAATACGTTTGAGTTGAGTTTTAGAAATTTCTTTTTACGACATCCTTGAGTTTCCTACAAAGCAGATAGGATGTTGAATTCATGCCTAAAAGCAATTGTTGCATTTTATTACAGTGTGTAAAATCTCACTGCTAGATCACTAGCAGATATCAGATTGCAGTCAACTGAATTCTGATTTAATGCCCCTCCTAATTAAAGTGCATAATTCTAGCTACGGTGGCTGTGATAGGACAAACATGCTTCAGTCACTAAAGAGTTAAAAAATATAAAATGTAAAATGCACCTCATAATTGCTACTTCTGCTGCTACCGTTTGTGTAAAAAATAAATAAATAATTGAATATAAGTACAGTGGTCCCTCGCTATAACACGGCCTCGCTGTTTCGCAGACTTTTTTGTGTGCAATTTTGCATGGTTTTTTGTTGTTTGTTTTTTTTTACAGCGCATTGTGTTCTCCGTCCTGATTGATTGGCTGTAGATCATTGTCAATCTCGTGCTGTGTCTCCTGTCAGTACAGGATACGTCCAGCTTGTCAAATTTACACAAATCTTAGTTCGCTAGCAATGTGACTCTGAAGTGCTGTACTGTATGTTTGTAAGTTTTCTCCCCAACAAACACGTCGTCACCTGCGGGTGCCTTTGGTTTCATTCTATAATACTGGACTTTCTACAAAGGTTTGAACTTTGAGAGTGTTTAAACAAGAGAGAATAGTGTGAAAATGTTGATGCCTGTCTGAGAAAAGTGTTTAAAGTGTGTAGTGAGGGGTTTTACAGCCTTAAAACATCTATGATAATTGAAAACAATTAAACTTGGCTACTTTGCGGATTTCACCTATCGCGGGTTATTTTTAGAATGCAACTCCCGTGTTAAACGAGGGACCACGTACTAAATAAATCAGGAATAATAAAAAGACATGGGTGTGCAAAAATGTTTTCTGGTATTTTATGTTTTTACCCCTGAGTCACCTCAAAACTCAGGCCGCAGTTCACCTGTAGTGAGTGTAGGCTGTCCATCTGCTGTTTACCTCAGCTGACAATATGCCGGGTCTCCGCTACTTTTTACTCTTTAAGCTATAAAAGTTTGTGAAAAGAGTCAGATATAAGTGGATGAGTCAGTAAAGCTAATTTCTGTTGAGGATATCCTGAACTTTTCTGTCAGTCATGCGTCTCTAGCCACATACATTAAACGCAGCTAAGTGGAACAGTGATGAAACTGTTCACAATGTAAAGCTCATAAACTGCTCTAACAGCTTTCTGTCCTCTGGTTTGGAGAGGCTTTCTAAATAAAGACAAGTCTCTCTGAACCAAACTGTAAAGCCTTTCCTCCAGCTCAGACTTGGAGATTAACAGCCCTCATAACACTTAATTTTCACTCTTTTTAATTCTTAAATAAAATCTTGCTATATCTCAAAACAAAAACCATTAAAAAAAGCCTGATTCCAGACCTCTGAATTACTGCTGGTATCATCTGTTTCCATGTTACATCAGGAAGGGAGGCATCATCTTCATTGAAGGGACAAATAAACAGCTGGTGGACATTATATGCATACATACATACATATGTGTGTATATGTGTATATATATGTATATGTGTGTATTAGGGGTGCAACAATACTTGTATCCATATTGAACCGTTCGATACAGTGCTTTCGGTTCGGTATGCATATGCATGAACAATACAAATTTTTTAATTTATTTTATCAACTTTTCTTCTGACGATGTTGTCTGTGTTGAGAGCTCAGTGGATCTGCGTTCGACTACTCCTAGGCTGCACTGTCGAGCGCAGATCCACTGAGCGCAGCACAAGCTAGCAAGACAGAAGCTAAGCTCATTGCAACATGGCAAATTGAACCTCCCCCACCCTCATTCAGATCTGGCCTTTGGAACTATTTTGGTCTTCATGTGAAGTATGACCCTGAAGGTAAGCACGTCATGGACAAAAGTAAAACGGTATGTTGGATGTGCCACGCAATTG